TATTTGTTGCTTTCTTTGTTGCTGTTACTTTTCCTTAGTGTAGTCAGGAGTGTTGTCTATTGCTGTTAGTGCAGAAAATTGATTTCTTTTTTCACCGGTTTTGTGTCCAAGTTTTTGTTCTTATTATAGAATATAAAAAAAATTATAAATATCTATATATTAAAAATTTAAAAACAAAAAAAAGATGTATTGTTTTGCTAAAAAGTTAGCTATATTATTAAAAGTATTATTTATATAAGTCTAAATTTTATGAAAGTTAATATTTAATTAAAGAATTTAATAATATTAAAAAATATATATCATAAAGATCATATATTAAATTTAAAAAGTTTATTAAAATTATTAAATTGAATAGAAAGTTTGTAAAACTTAAAAATAACTTATTAAAAGATATAGGTCTTATAGCTTAATAGTTAAGCTTTTATACTTCTACAGTTAAGATCAATAGTTCAAGTTTGGCTAGAAACAAAATTAAAAAATTTTAGCTTTTGTAATCTATAAGGAGCCTATAATTGAATATGAAGTCCTGTAATCAAGTCCAAGTGCAATATATAACAGAAAAAGAAATTCTTAGAAGAAGATTAACTTTGCAGAGCATAGGCATTATGTGTGATAATAGCATTATAGAAGGTTCTATTATACAAAAATATTGTATATATAAGTTCTCTAGAGACAAGGCAGTACTAACATCTTTGTATTCAACTTGTGAAATACTTGATTAAGAGGATAATATCAAGGTAATATAAACTAGAATAATGAGAAAAATGATATATGTATAAAAAGTCTGTAATAAAGAATTAGTCTTATCAAGATTAGAAGCACTTCTAATATTGTATAATAACTGAAAATAGAAAATAGTCATATGTACAAAGAAGTTGTAACCTGTTCTATACATTTAAAGATATCAAACTGAAGCTTGCTCACATCTATATAGGAGCCTATAATAAAACAAATAGAACATACTAACAAAAATACTATACTAATCAAAGTTGAAATACTTAAATTAGAATTAAACTTTGCAAACAAACATAAGACATCTGTAGGAATACAAATTTATACAGATATTTGTGTAAGTCAGTATACACAAAGAAATACAAACTGGCATTAAGTAGTGCAAATACAAGATAAGTTCTCATGTATTCAAATAGAAAGCAGAATGTCAGCCAATGGCTAAAAGAGAATGGATTATTTATTTCCAAAACATAGTTTTATTTATACTATAAAAAAGAGTACTTAAGAGGCAAGTTAGATATATAATCTGTTTAAATAATGCTAAGACTAAAAAGAGTTGCAAACTAGCAATAGCAGTAGATATCTGGTTTAAAATATATATTACCAGTATCTGAATTAGGAAGTTAGCAGTAGTAGTGGAAATCTGGTTTGAAATATGTGCTAAAAAAGCATCTTTTGGGCAAACCAAAGTTGTAAGCTCAAAAAGAGCAAATGATTCAATAGACCAATTTGGAAGTTATTAAAAATAGATTGTGAGATATGAAAGAAATATGCAGATTACTTAGGTTAGATATAAATGAGACACAATACAAAGCTTTGGTAAGTTTAGGTTACAAATAAAGATGTTTAAGTCTTATATCTGAATAGATATATAGTGATAGATAATATATAATAAAATTGTACTAGCCATAACTAATATACTAATAAAGACTAGAAGACATGAACTTATCTTAATATTTAAAAAAAAAAAAACTTATTATAAATTAGTATAAATTTGAAATATTGTATTACAAAATACAGTTAAGATTACTAATAAAATAAGATAGATTTTAGCCAAAAATTTATAAAAAACTTGATTATTATTATTAATTTAAAACTATTTAATATCTATTAAGCTTGTTTAGTTTCAATATTAGTTACTAATCTATCTGTATAGAAAATAAATTTCTTATATAACAGATTGTTTTGAAAATTTTTTTCAAGTTTATTTAAACAATTATTAGCTTTAAACTTTTTGTAATGGTTAAATTTGATATATTAATAATAGAATAGTTATGTAAAATTTGTAAAAAATATTTAATTGCTATTGAGTAAATAAGGTTCAAGTAGTTAGTATTAAGTTTAAGTTTAGAATTTTTTTTCTAAAAAACTAATACAAATAATTATTAATATATTAATTGACCTCTTTGGTCTTTTGATTTTTATTAATAACTTTTTTGATAATATGATTTTATGAACTATTATAAGAAGAATGTATAATTGGCTATATATATAATTTTTTATATTATCTATTTAAAAAGGTCATCCAAAGGTTCTCTATTAATTATTATATCTAACACCTTTATTTGAATATTCTATTTTAAATTCTTTGAATCTGTAATCTGTATTAACATTACTAAATTATGTTTAGGTTATTATTTCAATCTTAGAACTATTTTATTCTTGAGATAAATCTTCTGAAGCCTTCTGTATTTATTTACAGTTAACTTAATATTGTTATAGTAATTTTAATACTTATAATTAGAATTTTATTTTTAATCACTATGTCTTTATAAAATTCATTTAAACTTAAGTATCTATTTTATAATATATTTCTAGTACTTTAATCTATTCTTATCTATTTTCCAAACTTCTAATCTAAATAATCTATATAAGACTACAACCAATTCATTGATATATTGAATCAATTTAATATTCTTTTTTTTTAGTTTATTTTAATAACCTAGTTGATAATATCTTTAGAATTTTCAACTTAAAAACTCTTGTTTGTCTAGATACTTTAATATTAATATCTGTTTTCAGTAGTCTAATCTTTACAATAATATTATTAAAGATCTGTATTATCTCTCTATTCAGGTTTTTCCAAATAAACTTCTTGTTTTTTAATTAAATAGATTTACATAATCACAAGAACTTATCTAAAGTTTGTATTACCCAATGCTGATTTGCATTTCTCCATATAATTAGTTATACAAATATCTCATAACCTGCCAGTCATGCTAGTATGACTGTTATTACAGATATCTTAACCCAATCATTAAAAACAATTGATATAATATAAGAATTACATAGATTATTCAAATCTTTACTGTTAATGAGATTTAAACATCCAACTTACTACTTGAAAAGTTGACAACTTATCTACTTTACTAAGTCACCACACCCTCAATTTTAATTTCAATTTTTTTTTTTAGCATCTAGCCTATATATTTAAGAAATTGTTATATTTAAAGATAGTTCTTTTTTATTAAGTTAAATCAAATACATATTTGACAATAGCTATGAGGGTCAATATATTAAAAATTATTCAATTTTTATTCGAACTCGTTTATATTAGCCAATCAGATGAAAGCCTACTATCTGAATGTTTTCGGTTCAGTTCGGTTACCCGATTAAGCCTTAACTGGTTCAAATCACTATTCTTACATGCTAATAAGAAATTTTCTGAAGTACGTACCAAATATAAACTCCGATTGCAATTAATTTATGTTACACGTGTGTATCACATGGCAGAATCGAGCAGATAAAAAACCAGATTTAAATAAACTTGATTTTTGCATGGCTGAAGATTCTTCTGATTCAATTTTGTCTGCTTTAACAATACCAAAAATTCCAAATAATGGATTTGATGCGCATACTTTCTATTATGATTTTATTAAAGACGTAGCCAATTTTCTTTTACGTAATACTCGACTTCACCTTCCTCCAAAACGTACTTTCACTATTCTCGAAATAGAATTTTATTTGCGTGATGAAGTTAACGATCATTGTGATCCCTTCAGTCATGGTCATGAACATCAACTAACTTGTGGTGAATGGTACTTTCATCATGTCGGTCGATTTGGTTATCGAGGTGGATCAAGAAAAGGTATCGATATTACGTTTGGTTCCAAAAATAGAAATATATATGGTGGAATATTGATACGCGCAATAAGAGATGATGAAACTAATCAAGTAATAGAAGGACCAAGTTTAGTTGTTGATAAGATTCTGGAATTATGTGATGTAGATCAGCAAGGTGGTATCCGAAAATTAGTAGAGGTTAAATGGAAAGGTCAAAGTGGGATTTCAACAAATATGGAAAACTCTAATGGTCTGGTATATTTAGAGAAGATCGACGATGAAAATGCTAATAACGTTGATATGTCGATGATTATAGGAAAAAAAAGGCGCAAAAATGCAACTGTCGTGACCTCACCTTTTTTCACTCAAGCATTTTCAAAAAGGATTAAAAAGGATTATCACGAAGATTCAAGCATGAACCGATCAACTTCAGAACTTGTTTTATATAGCTCGCCAAGAGTTGGATTGACACTTTTTAATACACAGCCGTCTCCATCTTGCCGACTGCGGTATTTGTTAAAACCTTACAGATTCTTTCTTTTTCCACATCTTCTCAATAAAGGCAAAATGCAAATTGTGATCGGATTATACGAGCGATTTAAAAATATTGACAAGGTGTCCGAAGCGTCGAATATTAGTCGATCTGTAGTTGAACGATGTATTAAAGAAATGACGGCTGGTATGAATAACGGTAATATCAACGATTTTGTTGGAAAAAAAGGAAGAGGCACAAATGGCAATGATTATTGTCGTATGGTTGGAGCGGTGAGAAAATGGGAAACAGAAACATACAATAAATCTGAACGTGAGCATATATAGCTTTTAGTGCTTTTGTCTCTTTTCTTAATAAATCACATTATGAAATTTAAATCATGCTTGTTTAAAGTCGCCTATCTCCGTAACTTATATTTATTACGCTGAATACAACAAATTACATACTAATTTTTTTTTTTTGGTATTAAGGTGAAAATTACATACTAAATATGCTTTGCTGCATCTGAACCAATGTTAAAAAATCAAAATTTTTTATTTTATGTTCACATTTGTGGACATAAATAATTTTATCTAATAAAATTTATTTGTGATCATTATTTTTTTAACATGAAACATGATAAAAAACTGAGTATTCTCACAAAATTTATTATACTGTCTTATGAATTTCCAACACTAATCTGAACCCAATTGGGTTAGTATATAAAGCAATAATACAATTATTGAGGTATCTTATAACAAACAGAAGTTATAATTAATATATAGAATATATTATGTATAGAGAGACCTCTAAGTGCACCACAGTGAAGATGCATGAATTTTTTTGTTTTCTAAGAACATAAATTTTGTTTTTAGAATTTCAAAAAAATTTTTACTATTTTTTTAGAAAATTATTTTTATAATGCAATTTATAATTTTATATTCTTAAATGCATATTATGTTCTTTAAAATATTTTATATCCTTGAAAACACTTAAGAATGTTAGATATTTAATGGTGCACTTTTCATATACTGTATATATACTTTATGTAAAATCTCAATGTGCTTAGTATATTCTGATTTTACTGATGCTTGAAGAACTAAACAGAAGAAGATCAGAAGTTTACACAACTGCTGAGTATTAGGTGTGTCAAGATGGAAAAAAAGAAACATAGGCATACTTAGCAAGATGTAATGAGCAAAAAAGTTTGTAAAAACAAATCCAAAAAGTAATGACAGTAACAGTATGGAATAGGTTTAAAAAGGAAGAAAAAAACAGAGTTCTATTACAAGTAATATACAAGTCATTATTCAGAAAAACAGAAGTAGAAGAAATTACAAACAAAAAAGTACTAATAAAAAAACTTATAATGTTAAAAATAAAAGAGAGTCTTAAATGATTCTTAAACAAGCAGACAACACAGAAGTGCATAAATATAGTAATGAAATAGTATAGAACATTTTTTATAACCAAGTATAAAGAGTCTAATATGAAAAGGTTCAAGATTAGAAGAAAAAAATTAACATAATGAATAAAATAAAAAAAAATAATTATATAAAAAAAAAGTTAAGAAAAAAAAAAGAAAAAAATAAACAAACAAAAAAAAAAAACTAAATAAACAAAGAAGCTTGAAGGACAATTAATAGATTTATGAAATCTGTGCTTAGTTATGCATAATGTGATCATGTATAATATAGTGTACTACCATTATAATAAATCTTCAATTGAGTTAACTTATATGCTAATACAAAAATTATATTTTATACATCATATTATTTTTAAGTAGATTGGTCAATATCGATATAGTGTCATATATAATTTTATATACACTAAGCAATAATATCAAAGACATCACATATTAATTGTATATAAATAATATATAGTAAAATATTAAGCAGTATTATAATGATATGAGGATACTTATAGCAAAAACAAAGAATGAGATAATCTTATTTTCTGCTTGTCATATGCATTTCCATATATTAATTTTCTAAACAGTATTATTTTTATATTTATAATGGCTTTATAGATGATTCAGTAGACATTTTGTAATAAAATTGCCAATAAAATATAATTGGCATAGTTTAATTTTATCTATATTTTAGTTACTATAATTATGCAATATGTATTACATAAACAATATTATTAATTATCTAAGTTAAATAATCATCCATGTAACAATTAAAGTCTGTCATCAGTACTTCTATAAGAACAGAATTATTCTTGTAATATAATAAGTTTATATATCAGTTTTCTCTTGAAAATACTTAAAGATTAACTATATATAAAGTATTGGGTTCAATTATATAAAGTTATAAAAAAATTAATTGATTTACAAAGTTATTATATAATATGTTAAGCTGCTGCTATGTAACTATTGATGATGTGATGTTTTAAATATTAATTGATAATCAAGAAGTATATCAAATTGTGTAATGCAATTAACAAATAAATAAAATCCAAAATAAGGATCATTATTTTTCTGGTTTGAATAAAATTGGCAAACTGTAAAATATGTATATTAGTTGAGTAGACTAGACATGTTTGTTAATGTTTTAATAATATACAATATTATTAATACATATTGATCTATTTTTTAACTACTAAACATATGATAAAAAAATAATAAATATCACTTCATCTTTAGAAAATAATCATTTGTGCTTTAATCTTGATATTAATATAGCAGAGATTAATACTATATAAAATATATAATTATGTCATTAACAACAAAGAAATTTTTATAAATTATTATATACTAATTTTTATCTAAAATTATAGTCTATTTTAGGATCTTTATCTATAGAAAAAATGGTAATGATTTTACTTACCAATTATTTATATATTATAAATGAATTGCATGAAATTGATCCATTTATCACTAAAGAAAACATTTAAAAAAATCAAATAATTGCTTCATTTTTTGTAAATATTAATTCTGCTAAAGACATATATATTTGGCTTAAGAATTTTCAGGAAAAAACAAAAACTACAATGCATCAAACAAGAGGTCACATGATCAAAGGTCTTCGGGTTATTTTTCATAAAACAAAACACTATATACACAATAATACTGTTAAAAAGAAACAAGGAAAGAACATTAAGACTAAAAGGTTGCATAATAGATGTTTAAGGGATACAGATTGCTTAGCAACAATTAGATTTTAAATTGAAAAACATAATTTAACAAGCTCTTACCTTCTTGAAGTATCTCTTTATTTCATACACAACCATGTGCATAATTTAGCTATATCATTGAGCTTTCATACTGTTAATACACAAATGAAAGAAGAGTACTTGCAATTATTTCAGTGTGAACATATGCCATCAACTGCTCATTATGAATATAAAGAAAAACTGCATTTATTAGCTAATAATAAAAAAAATTTAGCAACTATTTTGGCTGGTCATGCAGTAAATCTTGATATTAATCATATAATATATCTTTATAAAAAGTTTTATACATCTCAACTTGAAGTACAGAATGGAATTAGTATGTTTGAATGCCTTGAAAGTGAAGTTAAAAATTACAATAAATTAGAACATAGAAAAGCAGTTTTTAGACTGTTTGACAAAACAAAAAGGCAGTTATTTGTTTTATGTATTGTTAGTAATTTAATGCAAAGAATCTATGAGAAAATTTGTCAAATAGAAGAAATATGTTATGTTAATGCATTATTATCTTTTGATTTGTTAAATACCTCTATAACTCTGTTATACACAAGTTGTATATTAGTGCATTACCTTTAGAAGTTATTCTAACATCAGATAAATCAAAGGACATACTAAAGTTTGCATTTAATCTTTTAAAAACAATTTTACCTCTCCAAGCATTTTATAATAAAGGGCTAGAAATAGGACTATGTATTATAATTACAGATGATTCTAATATTAAATAAAATTTACTTAGATATTGCTAGAGTAATACAAAGACTCTTCTTTGTATTTTTCATATACTTCAAGCCTTTTGGTGGTAGTTGTAGAATGCTAATAACCATATTTATAAAGATGATCAGTTATCAATAATAAAGCATATGAAATCTATGATATATGCATTAATAGAAGCTAAATTAGTAACTTCATTTGAAAATTTGCAACAACAATATTTTATAAAATATCCAAAGCTTGCTACTTACATTACTTACTCTTGGAATCATCGACAAGACTGGACTCTTTTTTTTCACATTGGCTTACCAACATGTAGAAATAATACCAACAATTATATAAAAAAAAGCTTTGGATTATTGAAGAACATAGTTTTTAAGAGGACACAAGCTTACAATATAGTTTAGATCTTTTATTTTATTACTAATAATTTGGAACATTTTTATGAGCAACATCTTTTAGCTATCTCAAACTAGCATCCTAGTAGAATGCATATAACTAAAAGATTTTTAAGTTATAGACATGAAGAATTTAATTATAAAGGTATTGTTACAAAGCAAATTTTTAGCATAGCATAGTATATTATATTATTAGTAGTTGTTATATATTTATTATTGTATTTTATATTATATTTATTATTAGTTATTAGCATAGTTATATTATAGTATATAGTAGTTAGTAAATAGAATCTTAATTAGCTGTTAGAAGTGTAATACAGAAATATAATATTGAATAACATCTATGATATTACTATTGTCTTACAAATTCCAAGTACCTTTACACAAGTTTCATATATCCTAGTAAATTTACTGTGCCAAATAACACAGTACAAGAATCCCAAGTATCTCTTTCACAATCTTCAAGTATCTCTGCACAATCTCAAGTATTCTAACACAATCTTCAAGTATTTATGCACAATTTTAACTGTCTTTGCATAGATTTAAGTATCTTGATACAAGCTTCAAATGTTTTAAGTACAAATAACAAATACATATAAACATTGTTCTAACTATTCTTATACAAACTCTACTTGCCTCTGCACAATCCCTATTACCCCAAGTACAGTATCAAGAGATGTCATTTAAATCTCTATTACCTCTACTAGGTAAAAAGATATATAAAAGGTACTTTTTCTCTTTTCTGCTAATTCTAAGTTTTTATACTTTTTTTTTAAATATTAACAATAAGGCTATGCTTTAAGTTTCTATATATACTTTAACTCAGACATAATAACCTTTTAATAATAAAATATAATATTCTCTTTCTAAGATAATTTCTACAAGCAAGATTGTCACTATGTGTATTGTTAATAAAAAGTTAATCTATATACTGTTATTATCTTGAACTATTTGTCTGCTGCTGTGTAATAAAGTGAACTACTACATCTCTATTTTATATATATTTGCAATAATCAATTACTATACTGAGTAATCTTGTTACTTGGTTGTATTGTACCAAGAAGGCTGCAACCCTGTAACAATATCAATCTTTATCACAATTAATATAATTCAACAGGAGGATTATTATCAATATATATCTGTATAGATAATAATTGATATATATTGGCCTATAATTTTTGCTAATATTAGTAAAGTAGATAAGTTATTAACTCTTTAACTGATAAGTTGTGAGTTCAAAACCTACCAATAATAAAAATTTAGACAGTATTACAGTGACAACATTCTGTTAATTAGTTGGAATAAAATATCTAAAACTATAGTTGCATTAACATAACTGACAAGTTATAAGGCATTTGTATAATATTAGAAGTATACAGAGAAATATAAACTAATATTATGCAGAATAAATTAAGATAAATCATTATGGTTATATAAATCTTTAGAACTAGAAAGCTGAGTCTACTTGAAAAAACCTGAATAGAAAAATAACACAAATCTTTGACAGTATTATTATAAAAACTAGATTTAAAAAATAAATATTAATATAAAAGAAATCAGTCAAATAAGAACCTTAAGTAAGAGATATAATCAATCAGATTGCTGAAAGCCTTAAATCAGAGAAAAAGGATCTTAAAAAATAAAACTTTAGGATATTAGGAACAGATTACAGTCCTTCTAAGCTATCTAAATTAAAAAATCTGAAGGCTAAATTAAGATATAACTTAAATATTAGAGATATACTATAAAGTTAATACTAAAATCTGAGTAAACATTGCAAGTATAAGTTCTATTAACAAAGATTAAATATAGATAATTAGTTAACAAAAGAACTTCTTAAACTTTACAGTTAGATAATATATTCTAAAATATATAACAGCTTAATAAATGTACAAACAGAAAGATCAAAATTAGATTAAATAATACTTTGGTATATAAAAACTTATATGTTATTTGTTAGGTGTAATATAAATTACAATAAAAGCAATAGCTACTGATAACTAATGACCTTAGTGAAAACAAAAAAAATATATATTTATATTAAGGATAAATTAAATTAATTATTTTATAAATCTATAGATCAATAGTATAATAATTAACATTTTTATGTTTCAATCACAAGATCACAAGTTTGAGTTCAAAAAATGACAACAACTTTGCCAAAACTATAATTAGAAAAAAAATTTGCAAAGAACTTCTATTTAAAAGCAAAAACAAGATTCATACAGAAATAATACAATAATCAATATAACTACAAAATCAGAAACAATCAGATAAGATGTAATCTGTTAACAATTAATATTAATATTGAAAGAACCTAATTTAAGAATATGTAATGATAAAATTAAAAACTTTGAAATATACAAATGATCTGGTTAGTAGGTCATGTAAAGTTAGAGAACTGCAGACTAAAAAGTATAATAGGTCTTATTTCATGAAACCAAAAATTTAAGATGTCATATAACAGAATTGATAAAACTAAGTTATCTCACAAGTTTAGTGATATGCAAGAGCCACATGTAGTCTAATAATCTTCACAGAATAATAACTCTGATCTTTAAGAGATGTGACAGATCCTAAAGGTATCTAAAAACCTTCAGAATAGTAAAGAAAAGTAAAACAAAAAAAAAATTTAATTATAATTTCTAATAAAAATTAATGAACTTACATTACCAGCAAAGTTTTGCTCTATTTTTGATACAAAAGTTGAAATAGTTTGACTTTTCAAAATTTTGTATTATAAATAAGTAACAAAAAAGAGGATCATTTAAAGCAAGGTATAATCCCATGATATTATGATCATTGATGCAGTCCAAAGAGCTGGTCTAAAGAATTTGTATATCTATTTATATATCCAAAATTTAGACTAAAATATCTCAACACTATTTAATAAAATTTCATAAAAATTGCTTTATATTAATTCTATGAATTTGTTGAATTAAAATAAAAAAAAATGATTAAATTTCATCAAGTAGTTCTTAAAATATCTTTGATCAAAGCTTTTAAAAAAAATTTGGCACAACTTTAATTTGATAAATTTTTTGAACTTTAGTGCAACTTTGATTGAAGATATCTTAAGAATCACATAATGAAATTCAATGAATTTTTTTTTATTTTTATTCTATAAATTTATAAAATTAAAATAAAAAAATTTTCATTGAATTTTATTAAGTACTTCTTAAGATATCTTCGTTAAAAATTTTGCACAGCTTCTGTTTAATATACATTTTGAATCTTTGTGCAACTTTGAAGATATCTCAAGAACTACTTGATAAATTCAATCAACTTTTTTTATTTTAATTCTATGAATTTATAAAATTAAAATAAAGAAATTTTTATAGAATTTCATTAGGTAGCTGTCAAGATATTTTAGTCTAAAGTTTGGAAATTTTAAATATACATAAACATCTTAATTTAATTTAATGAATTTTTTTTTGAACAATCAAATAAAAAAAATTTAAATTTTAAAAATAGATTTTAGACATTGATTCTAGATATCTTTGCTTAAAGATTTATTATATAATAATGCAAATAATAGCATTTCTTTATTATATATAGACATTTTGTTAAACCATTTTTTTTCTAAAAATTATGAAAAACCTCTAATATAATTTTAGATTATTATTTATACTATTATTTAATTACTTAATACAGGATCCAAGCAAGCTTTTAACTTTTTTATAAAAGTATCAGTTTGCTCTAGATTACCATTCTTTTTGACTTTCCAATTTGTATCATGTATTCTTTTCATCAATTTATTTAATTCCAAATGTCTATTTTCTATTTTTTTTTAGCCTTGGTTCTTTTTGATGTTTTTATAGTGATCAATTCACAATTCATATATATCTCAAACCTGGATTCAGCAAATATGTATTGAAAATTTTTATATGCATTAGATGTTAATAATTTTACTGTACCATAAACATGCTTATAAAATAAATGACAACAAGCCAATAAATACTGGTAAAAAAACAATTACATTCAAGAAACATAAAGCCTAGTACTGCTTTTCCTTTTTTAACTCTTTTTTCAAAAGCATGAAATTCATTAATGATCATTTTTTGAACAGGATATAGAAATTTATAAATCTTATTAATAATCTTATTATTGATATCATTAACAAAAATCTTTTTGATGTGAAATTCAAAAACTACATAATCTGAGTCTGATCTTTTTTTTTATCTAATTCAACTATCTTATAACATGTTTTTTAAAAAAAAAAGTAAATAGTAATAAATAAATAAATAATAAAAAAATAAATAAATAATAAAAAGCAATAAGTTTCCTTTCAATTAGCTCTTTTAAAATATAATATGTTTCAGACCCTTTTTTTTTATTTCTGTTCATTAGTATTACTTATATTTGCTAATTTTTGATAACAAATAAAAGCTTTATTTATTCTTTTTAACTTAAATTACTTTGTTATAATACTAGTGAGTCCTAAAGACATTTTCTATCATTATATTGGGTCTATATTAATATTCTAAAAATGAAATTCTGAAAATTTAATTGTTACTGTACAAGATGCAATATTCAAAGTCTATTAATAATTAGTAATTAATTATGACAGACTTTGAATATCATATCTTATACAATGATGATTAAATTTTTAGGATTTATTTTCAAAATATTAACATAACTCTCATTATATTCATTATTTATAGCTTTAAAAAATACATACCAATTAGACTATACTGTGATGAAGTTTGCTTTTTAATCCACTATGGTATGACTCAAATAGATTTGTAAAGATTATGTGCATTAGAATAGGTAAGCATTTGTAAGCCCATAGGGCCTATTGATGTATATTTTTCATATAATAATGTGAAATATATCATTAAATTGTTGGAATTAGACATTCTTTAATAGTTTGTTAGATAAGAGCTTTATAATCAATTTTGTTTTTTTTATATATTGCTTGAATTATCTTTTACTAAGTTTTGGTTTTATAAATTTTTATCTAGATTCACATAATATGAACAGTACAAAGAATAATATTACACTCTTGTTTACTATTTTGAAGATCTTGAAAAGTCTATATAACTTTGGTTAGCTAAAAAATATCTTAGTTTTCAATAGTACACAATATGTTTAATCATGATTAAGGCTTTTGCAACTGTATCACTATTCTTATTGCTTACAAAAAAATGTGTTCCAACATCTTAGTATTCAAAATTATTTTAAATATATAATGTAAATAAACAATAATTGTATTTATTTGTTTTGTGAATCAAATCTATTAAAGTTAACTATCTGAATTTCTCAAGATATTTAAATTGGTTTGGATATACAAAAATAATACCATAAGTAAATTGATTATTAACTTTAAAACACTTTACATAATAATTTTTTTTTAAAAAAAAAGAAATAGCATTCTGAATATCTAATTTTTGATTAAAGTTGTCAAGAAAACATATTAAGAAGTCCATATACTTTATGCTTAATATTTATAACTTTTATCTGTCTCAATTCTTTTACATTTTTATCTAAATTTAGCTTTTTTATTATAAATTCTTTTACTGCAATCACAATCTCTGAGGACTAGTAATTCTTTATAGCTTTTTATATAACTAAAATTTAAATAACTTGTAAATATTTAAATCTTTCTACATCTTCTAAAGAATGTATATAATTAGAGAAATCTTTATATTATTCAACTTATATTTTTTGTTCAAACACATCATGTATTACTTTTATTTTAACAAAACATATATTTGCAAGATGAACTTTAGTTTTATGATGCTTTTCTTTTAAAACATTTTTCTTTTATATACTTGACTTTTGAGATTTATTAAATCAATATATAAAACTTTTTCAGGAATTACTATTAATATTATCTCTGTAATTAAATTTTGTTCAAACATTTATTACTAGGGACTACCATTTAACATCAAATTCTTGAATCGAAATCTCTAATAGTTGGTTAACATTGAAGAAAAAAACATGTTTTTGATTAGGCATTAGTGTCTCAGATATGGGTAAGTTTGTTGTTGTTAAAGAGAAAAAAAGATTTTAATTTAAAAAAAATGCTTATAACAAAAAAAAAGCTTCTTATCATTTAAAAAAAAAAACACTTATACATTTATACTAGGGTTTTTAGTAAAAAAAAAAAAGCTCAACACATACTTTATAACAATAAGAAATGTTCCTTATGACATTTACTATGTACGTATAAGAGATACCTCGCTATCACTTATGTTTAGGTTTTAGTCTTAAAGTAAATTGCTTTGATTTATGTACACCATACACTATGCATCTATCTTGATCTGTTATTTGTTTATACATATAGGATGTACGCTGTATGCTATGCATCTATCTTGACCTGTTATTTTATACATATAGGATGTATATATGTACTGTACATATCTTGCATTTTTCTGACCCTCAGTAGTTCATCATATCACATCCTCTAAAAAAGGAAAACCTGTAAATCATTCACTTATTATGTAAAGTGAAGTAGAGTATTATGACGCACTTAAGAGTTGCTTATATAAAAATTTTCAGAAAAATATATTTATTCTTTAAATTTATTAAAATAAATTATTCATCAAATTAACTATCTACTAATAAAAAAAAATCGATGTTTTTTAAAAAAAAATTAGAAATATGACCTTTCAAACTCTACTCAAAAAATGCTATAGTTTTAATATTTTGAAAAGTATTATGGTGCACATCAGATATGTCGAATTAATGTCAATATAGTATTACAGGATATACATAGAAATTTATACAGATAAGTATAGCATAGCATAACTATGCATAATCATCTTTTCTTTTTTTATGTAACTGTTCTTCTTTTTTTTACTTACTTTTATCTTTTTTTCTTTTTTTTTCAGCTTCCCGATTAGCTTGTTTCTGGGCTGCTTTCTCTTTTCTTTTTTTTGTATTTTCTGTTTTACTCTTTGCTAACTCATCTGCTTTTTTTAGAGCATTTAGAGAATTTTCGTTAGTAAGAAGTCAGACAAACAGCAAAGTTTTTCATTTTTTTGGCTGATTGGACTCTTTCTCCTTAATCTGTATTGAAACTTGAAAAGTAGGATATTTAAGAGCTAGTTTTAATAGACAAATACCAGAATTTTTAAATATCTCAAGTTTTTTTTTAAGTAATATATTTTTTCTTCTTAAAGCATAAATTTCCGATTCTAATGATTCATTTTCTTCAGTAACTTTAGTATGTATAAAGTAGTTTGAAGATGATGATATAAAAAAAGATGATGTAGAAGAAAATGGTATAGAAAAAGATGGTGTAGATGAAGATAGTATAGAAAAAGATAGTGTGGAAGAAGACGATGTAAAAAAAGACAATGTAGAAGAATTATCATTTTGTTGAGAGAATAAAAGTAAGATATCAATTTGTTCAGTAGTGTTACAGTACCGTGGCCTTCTTAACAGCAGTACTATAACAATGACATGGCTACAGAGATCCTTTATAGGTTTATAGCGGTGTCCAAGAGGTAAGTATAATTCCTTAGTCTGTAAGAAACTATAC